ATTACAAACAAGCCAATCTCATTACAAGAAACACGTATTTTATTGCAAGATTTAATTATTTTCTCTTTGCTGACCTTTATTTTTGTAGTTGACTAACAGCGAAAGAAGTCATGCAATACAGGGTTAATACTCGTAATTTTGTGTTTGGCCAGATTTCGTTCTCTGAGATTGAAGAATTCAATGTAACTGCGATCTGATTCACTTTCTTCGGAAACTATATAAAGAGCGTTAATCCTAACACCGAGAAAGTTAAATTTGTGTCATTTAACTTTTTGCGTGCAAAGAAAGAAAATATAACAGTTGCATTGAAGCTTGAAATTCTCTCTTGTAATTTCGGAACTGGTATTGGATCTTGACAGAATGTGAACACTGGAGAAATAAATCTCTGGCGAGAAGTTCAAGCGCCAATTTCCATAATGCTCGGGTATTATTCAAATTGTATGTTCAAGTTTGCAGTGAGACAAAAACGGAGATAAATTTTGCCTAATAACTTTTGTCCATTTATAATGTAGATGAAGATAAATCGAAAAACTTTGTATTTTCTTGGCACTGTTCATTCATAAACGTAATCGTTAGAAGACACTTTGTATTGTAACCATAGAATGACGATAATTATTTTAACAACCACGGTGGAAAATTTTTTACGATAAAATAGTGCCAAATATTTTGTAAATGCAGATTCGTCACAATCAGAGAGGGAGTGCGATTGAAAAGTAACTTGAAGTTTTTTTCTCTTTTCGCAAATTTCTACTGCATGCAAATGTAAATGCACTTAATTTTCTGACTATGGATATTAATGGTGGTACGACATTTCTACATATTTCGGGGTAAATTTGGCCAATCGTAGATTTATATAACGACGTTTAAGAATAAGCCGTTCTATATAGCTCTGTTCTTACGGAACTCTTTCTACTCTGATTCGGAATATGTGTGTGAGGGATATTTGTCGCGTGTCCAAAACCGCTGTTACTCGGCTTTAAACTTTATCAACGATAAAGCTCGACATTTGTATATTAAGCCGACAATTTTTTCTATACCGTCGCAAATTACAACGTAAGCAAGTAATTATGTTTTTACACCTTGATCTCTCAGTGTCAAACATTTTTATATAAGACTGTCGATTCTAAATAACGATAGGAAATCCCAATAGGGTCGCGAAGTGTTAATTTACGTCACGCAGGATTCTCGTTGAAGCTATTGTTTGTCTTCCAGTTCGTATTACGCTAATTTTGACCGCGTCATTTTTTTACTATTAAATACGCTTCGTCTCTTCCAATGGCTTACCAGACTAGCAATAAAGGAGTCCTTGAGAGAATCATCGACCAGACGGTAATCATACACATGCACACAACACATACATACACACACGTCGTTGTCGTCTCAACGTAACTTCGAGCTCGCTCATCTTCCGTTTCCGGTCTGCAAAGACGACGTTACTCGCGTGTCAACTGACTTTTGCTTCGATTTGTGAGCGTTCGAATTATACGACGTCCGTATACAGAATGCCCTATCAATGCCGGGTGTCTTAGCTATAAATATCTTTTCATTTTCGCTTGTCGTTTAATACCTCGGTTATGCAGGCAGTCTCTTTGTTAAAATGAAGTTCAAGTCTCTTTTTTTTTTTTATCGAGCGAGAAAAAGCGCTGAGAATGGAGATTTCACTAACCCTCACTTCTCTCTTTCTCTCAGCGCACTCTCTTTCTCCTTGAGAATTTCAGAAGAGAGCGGCTCTTCAATTTTTATCGGTCGTTTCGAAACAGCTCCACTTTTGCTGGTTCGCCTCAGCTTTGGTTCTGTACGACATCCATAGCTAAGGCGGCAATCGGTAACGGTGGGACATCCTGTGTACGCGCACACGCACACACGCGTATGCATGCGTAGGTACATATAATTGCGTACGTACAATTAGGTCCCGATTTAACGGTCGGAACGAAAAGCGATGGACAAGATTAATTAGAGCAGGATACACGTACGTCGAGGTGTCCGTCGTGTCGGCGTAACGCTCCCCCCATCCCTTATCCCCCCCCCCTCCCCGTTTGTAATTTGTGTAACACTTTTTGATCGTTTATCGATATACCGTACTTGTTAACGCTATATATATATAAAAATAAATATATATAAATATATATATATATATACATAAAAAAAAATATATCTGTTTTACGCGGTGATTCCCCCGGTTGAGGTGCGCCGTCTCGTCGGTCGTTCGATATAACGACCGATAATTATGTGTTCGAACGATATCGAGGCACAGCTCGATGGAGAGACGTTGGGGGAATTACCGGCGTCCGAAGGACGAAGAGCGGTACTCCAAGCGTAGGGAATCTATTGTACATTGATTATTGATACATTAATTATGATAACAATAAATTATATACAAAGTCACATCGTCGGATCTGCGTCTGTAATTTCACTTTGGTTTCTCCGGGACGAGTATCCGCTCGTTTCGGTTTTTCTCTCTCTTTTTTATTATCTTCCGTTAAATATTCGTTTTCTCCTCTACGCCCACGTTTTTTTTTTTTTTTTCGTTTCGTCCGTCCACGTGCGGTCAGATTGACATTTTAATTTCGGGTCCGACAGAGATTCACACAGCAAGCACTGCTTTCTGTTCCTCCTTCGTTTTATATTGATTTTCAAACGAGTCGAATGTCGAAGTGTCCTCGTTGTCCTTTCCCTTCCCGTGTGCGATGTGGCCTGTTCCTATTCTTCTTCTTTTTTTTTTTATTTCGTTCTTCATACCGTACCTCTTTATCGCAATGCCGGATTCGTCGTACGACACGGATGACATTACGTGTGAGTAATCCCCCTTTACAATGCCTAGTTGTCTTAATTGTGGATATTTGCGATTTTCTTTCTCTTCGTCATTATTTCACGATACGTTCGCTGAAGTGGCGCACGAATTTCCCGCTTAGTCTGGGCTCTCTGTCGCATTTGCATAATCCGTTAAACGAATCTGTATGCACTCTTTATTTAAGCGCTGCAGCTTCGAAAAAGTTATCTGGGAGGGGCAAAAAAGAGTAAAAAAATAATTCAGTAAGTGTACTCTCTCAATAATAAAACCGATATATTTCCCAAACGTCACGAGACGAAATGCACGATAAAGCGTAAAGTCTTTCGTTTCGGGATCGAGGCTGAAAGTGTATCAAAAATATCCTTGAAGTCACGTGCGTTCTCACACGCACACGTTGTATAAGCCTGGAAGTAATAAGGCTATTAATTACCGCGCTCAAAGGCTCCAGAAGGAATATATTTTCAAGGCTTCAGAGATTCATGCAAATGCGTTAACGGTCCGCACTCCGTATTTGAATGATTTTTATGTCATTATTACCGAAGCAAAATAGGCGGAAGAGTAGCTTATTCCTAGTTGTAATATCGCATATTATACCTCTTTCTGTTCTGTTGTTTTCGTTACGTCTTCCTCTACGCGAAGGAAGCCGAGCACGATCGGAGATTCTCTCTGTCTCTCTCGCTGCTGAGGAATTTCCGTTCGCCCGTTGCGAATATTGTGCGACCTCGTCGTACGATGCGCCTTATTTACGCATGCGATTTGCGTCAGTGGAATAATGTAGAATATTGTTACATTATGGATTCTTAACTTCATCCGGCTTCTAATCGCCGTTTTATTAGCCGCTTATTACTTGAAGCACGGTACTTTACTATAGACGTGCCTGGGCATGAATTTTCATAGGAATGAAATACGCATACGCGCGCCTGGCTTTGATGTCTCATTTGTTTATTAAAATTAGCTTACTCGACATTATCTGCACTCTTCACTCACATTGCCTTTACCATGATTTGCGCAAAGAGGATCGATCTTGTGTTTTTTTTTATTCTCGAAGTAGAAACACTGCACGTACCCCACTGAGATTTTCAAAATAAGTCGCAGAGCGTTATGTGCCTTTTTATTTAAAATACATTTTGACATTTATAACTTATCTGCCGCTAAACTTATCCGTCACTCGGTGCTGATAATAATTTAAGATAAAAGAAAACTCTTTAGCAGAGTCTACGATAGGATTCGAAAGAGGATTGAAAGTTTAATTTTGTTGGATCAAAAGTAGCGATTAATTCTTATTTAATTTTCTTGATGTCTATTAATCATCGAGATAAATTGTACATCGAGAATAATTGAAGATTCATATGAAATTGGTATAAATTTTATGAACACTTGTTATAAATACGTCATCGATTCATCGATTTATTTTCCCAAACTTTGTGTTGCATTTGAATCAGGCATCAACTTTCATCTCCAATTCTGCAAAAAAATCACAATAAAAAAGAACAAATATAGATAGTGCACTGTAGCATGCGTGCCTATATACATATATAAATTCTTTGTAACGGTGTTCATTGCAACAGTTTGCACAATTTTTGAAATATTTGCAACATTTTTGAAATATTTAAAAAAAGTTATGATGGACACCTTATATATATACAGAGTGTTTCACAACCGGTGGCACAAGCGGAAAGGTAGTGAAAAATAAGAAAGAGAATGTAGAATAAAACCTCTTTATATATGAAGCTTTTTTAGAGCCTTATATATAAAATTTTATATATGAGCGTTTTTTTAGAAAAATAACTTTGAATATTCGTCAGATACGCATACACTTAACATCTGTGGCTAGTAAATATTATAAATATCAAAGGGACTTTGGTATATAATAAGACAAAATGTGTTTATTTTTCAAAATTTTATTTTAAACATTGTTGAAAGTGCATGCATACCTGATAAACATTTAAAGTTTTTTTTCTTTAAAGAAAAACAGAGTCTCATGTAAACAAAATTTATTCTATATTTGTCTTATTTTTTTATATATAATCATCTGTTTCCCGCTTGTATCATCAATTTTGACACACCTTATATATTTTTTCATATATGTATATCGAATCTTACTTATTCCCTCAGATGTTTCATCGACACTTGTTTTATCTCTCTCTTTTTTTTTTAATTCTCGTATTTAGTGCAATTTCTGTCTGTTCCGGGGTTGTATAACTGATATTTATTTACAGATATCCGAGCTGAAAAGCAGGCGATATCTAATCAACGGGAGAACAATAATTCTGTGTACGCCGCTGAGAAATCGCTGGATAAACGGACGACGAATGGCGGAGTCGAGGTGAACAATGCGAGCGTCGTAAATTCGCCGGATCTCAGCCCAGTAAAGAATGTACGAAACGGGGAAGCGGAAGAGGCGGAAGTTAGAAAAACGAAGGTAGGTTTTTATCGTTTAAGAATCGACTGCTATTGTCTCAACGGCAAACTCTACGGAGAACAGCTACAAAGATTCATTATTTTTCTGTCCAGAGGTGGCCGACCGATAAAGCTTATTACATAGCCAAGGAGCTTCTCATGACAGAACGAACTTACAAGAAGGATCTGGACGTTATTAATGTGGTAAGTGAAACTTTGTCTCAGAGATAAGGAGCACGGCATTCGAAGTAAATCCAGTTTAGAAGACGGGTGGGAACCAGCGGGACAGAAAGGGAATTCACAAATTTCAAGTTGTGACTTATATTTATGTGCAGTGGTTCCGCGAGGAAGTTTCCAGGGAAGCGGCGTTGGAAGGGGAGTCGGTAGTCTCTCTAATCGAGCTACTCGCCGACGTGCACGGGCCCTGCCTTCAAGAAATGGAGGCACGGCTGGCGCGCTGGGAGAGCAACGCTCGTCACAATATCGGTGACTTCTTGTACAACACGCTTTTAAACGTTCTGCCTCTCTACGACCAGTATCTGGAGAACCTGATCCCGGTGTTGGAGAAAATGGAGTACTCCATGCGAACGTCGCGACGTTTCGACCAGCTCTGCCGCGATTTCGAGTCGCAGAAGCATTGCTACCTGCCATTAACTTCATTCCTTTTGAAACCCCTACAACGATTGCTGCATTATAACAGTATTATCGACAGTGAGTGATCGCATGAAATCAGATCGTCAGATTTGCGACATATGTATCGCGATAATTCGTAATTTCTCAAAGTGACGCTCTTTCAGGACTATTGGATCATTATCCAAAGGATCATACCGATTTCGAGGATTGTCTGGCGGCGAGAGACAGACTCGGCGAGACATTGCTCGAGGGACTCACGATTATAAATCAAGCGGTGAGAAAATTATTGTTATTATAGATTATGTTATTGTTAAATTGCTATTATTATTTGATACAAAAATTATTCATAAATAAACTGAACGAAAAGAATCTAGACTATGAAAATACTTGTTTTTTCTTCACTAATTTACAGTAAAGCCGGGTATGTCGATTTTAGTTTTAATTGTTTTTAATTTGCCGTTGTGTAGGAAAACCTGGTGCAGTTATGCGAAATGCAAAGAGACATTAGTGGCTTTGATAATCTGGTGCAAGAAGGCCGTAGGTTCATCAGGCAAGGGTGTCTGCAGAAGTATAGCCGTAAAGGTTTCCAGCAACGTATGTTCTTCTTGGTAAGTCCCTTCTGTGTAATTCTTATTAATTAGCGCGACAACAGCTAGATTAATATCGCGTTTATTTTCACAGTTCTCAGACGTACTACTGTATACATTCCGTACGCAACAACCAACGCAATGTTTCCGCGTGCATGGCCAGCTACCATTGAAAGGAATGAAGATTCAAGACGCGGATAATAAGACTGGAACGGATTTTGCTTTTATTATCGACGGACAAGGAAATCAGTAAGTATCAAACGCTTCGAATTACATTGTACAATTGAGGGGATAGTAATAAAGCGTAAAAATACACTAGAAGATACTAAATGGTCGTTTAAGAGGCCGTATCGTTATTGAGAAGTCAACTAGCTAAACTGATTTTATTGAAGCACGCGTGCTGTTAATGACAGTCATCAGTACGAATGTGACTTCAACTTGGAAGAATATGAACTTAGTTGTATTAAAGCGAAGATATTTTAAGGAACAGAAATTATGTTGAAATAAATATTTTTATTGTTATAATTATTATTAAATTTGAAAACGTGACAGAAGTAAAACAAGATATAAAATTTAAAATAATTTTATTTTTGCAGATCACTGACAGTTGCAGCAAGCAACGAAGAAGAAAAAGAGAGGTGGATAGAAGATTTGAACATGGCTATAACACAGATCGATGCATCGGACGCGAAAATGCCATATTTAAGTTTGAAGTCTTGTAGTAAGTAACTTTTAAGTAATATAAAGTCAAAATATCTGTACTGAGCGAAAGAATATTTCGTTTTATCTTTCTTTTTTGATGAGAGAAAATTCTTTCTAAAATTTTTTTTTACGCAAAAGTTTTAGGTTCAGCCGACGAAGTAGGAGATGGCGTAGGATTAGAAGTAGATCGGACTAGTTGCGGAGGTGCGAAGGCCTCACAACGTAGCAATACTACAGTTCACGTTTGTTGGCATCGTAATACAAGTATCAGTTACAGCGATCAACTACGAGCGTTTCAGGTAATGTTAATATTCCGAGTAATATTTGTGGATCGCTGACATCTTAGTCGTTAAGCGATATACCCAAGATATCTTATGTAAAAGGTGATTAATGATGTGTTTGTTGCGTGCACTGTTTTAGAACCAGCTTAGTGGATTTCTTCTGCGGAAATTCAAGAATAGCAACGGTTGGCAAAAGCTTTGGGTTGTATTTACTAACTTTTGTCTATTCTTCTACAAATCTCATCAAGACGACTTCCCATTGGCTAGTTTGCCATTATTGGGATATACCGTTTCTACGCCCTCGGAAAAAGATGGGATCAACAAGGACTTTGTGTACAAATTACAATTCAAAAGTCATGTGTATTTCTTTCGAGCGGAAAGCGATTATACTTTTGGAAGGTAAATATGCAGGATATCTTTGTGTAATTTTAAAGAACTAAAAATTCGAAAGAAGAATACAATGATAATTTTGTCTTTAGATGGATCGAAGTCATTCGAAGTGCAACTCAACAGAGTCATGTGCCCGCTAGTATGAACGGAAAAGAAGAGTATTAAAACTAAATTTACACGGATAATTGTCGAAATAATTATTAAGAAGAAATATTTTTTAAGATTATGGAATCATGCCATAAAGCATGGTTTCAAAATTATATTTAATGAGAAAGTCTAAATTTTTGGCCTTATATATAAAATCAAAAAAGAGTGATAATTGGTAGTTTGGGGTATTACATGTAATAAAAATTGATTGTGTATACAGTTTTCTGGAAGAACAACTTATCTTTAATTACACATTTTTTTATTCTTAAGCTATTATTTTATTTTTCTGCTAGTAATTCTGCTATTGCAAGCATTTACTTAAAACTGGAATATTTAATTGCGTGATTTTACTGTATTTTCAGACTTAAGTCATTCTTCCAAAGAACTTCACAATTTTGAAGACAATTTAAAATCATAATACAAATGTATTATTGTTATGTAAAAATATAACGATAATGATAGTGCAAAAAATTATTTAGAGACTTTAGAAAGTATAAAGAGTTTTTTTTGTATAAGTCACAGGACTTTTTGATATGTGATTTATGCTTTTAATATAAACTTAAAAATGGCATTAACATGTATATATACACGAGAGACAAGAATCTCGATATTATGTCACAAATTTATGAGAGAATGTTATTCAATAGAAAGAGAAAGAGATAGAATATATATATATAGAAATATGTAAATATGATATTTACATATACATTAATTATATAATATATTCGTGTTTAGAAGTTTTTTAATAAAGCTTTTTTATATCTGTTCTCTTTATTGAGCGATAGTCGTGCGGATAAGTTGCAATTGATCACAGCAATACAATATTAAGTAGTATATTTTTGAACATTTTCTTTTAAGAACAAATGTTTTTTCTCATGTAATTTACTCATTATATGTAATTGATTGCTACTGCGCGATTATCATTCAGTATGAAACAGATATGACGTTAGAATTGCATCTAGATATATTATATTAATGCGTTTTGGAGATACGTTCTGTTGTAATGTAAGCGAAACTTAATGACAGTCATAAAAAATTATATATACAGTGGACGAAATTTCTATAAAAACTTCTATTTTTAATAGAAAAAATTAAGTACTTTAGTGAATAAACTTAAAGAAAGTTTAGAAAATTTATGATTGAATAGCAAAACAAAAGAATGCTATATTAAGAACTTAAAAAAATTATATTTATTATAAACAAAATATAATTAATTATATAGAATAATAGCAAAATTTGCATAGAAACAATCCATTAAAGTATTTAAAAAAATGTTGTAATATTAATAATTAGTACTTCCACTATTACGCCTAGTTATCTCATATAATCTATTTTCCATACTACAAACTGATTTTTTTTACAATGTAGTATTGATTTTATTCCACTCTTGTGTTACAACGTTTTCCAACTCCTTAATGTTGTTTATTTTTTCTATATACTGCTTTTGATAGAAAATTTCCCATAAATTCTCTATTTAAGTTCGGCGAACTCCTGCCGGCCATTTCATAAGTGACAAATTTTTATGTTGGAACTCCTATGTCTTCTTTGCACTGTGTAGCAGCGTTATCTTGTTGAAAAATAACATTTTTTCGTGATTTCCTTCGAAATTAAACAATTCTCTAATAAGTTATATTCCTTGAATTATTCACAAAGCACTCAGTTTTTTCTATTATAACTAGAAGTGCTCTTATAGAAATTTCCACTGTATTAGTATTAATATTGGACCAATTTTATAATCAAATCTGTTTATAACGAGTATTCAAATAAGACAATAATTTTGTTAACGTTTTTTTCTTTTATACGATCTAATTCATATTAACAAAATGAGTCAAAGAATGAGAGTATGTTTATGTTATAAATTGTAGCTCTAAGAAAATGCTTATGATTTTACAAATTTTAGTAAACGGTGCCATTGCGCTCTTTAGAATCAATCTATGATATAGCTTTTGCACAAAGAAAGACTGCAAGAAATCTTTCTCACTCTTTTATAAAGTGGCAATATATACGTTACGTAATAATATATTTTTATTGTCTCGCGCAGCTATATTAAACTGACAGAATAACCCCTAAGCTAATCTAAATAATGATTCAAAGAGATGATTAATCATTAAGTTAGTCGTTAAGCTTGCTTGATGCATTTAGACTATATAAAAGTCTAAAAAAAGAGCATTATGAGAATGTATTGATTTATTGAATTACTCTTTAGTAGTCAGAAGACATTTAAAAGACGTATTTTGAATTTGTATTGTCTGAGAGGGTTGTTTGTTGTATAATTCATTTAGATTATATATAGTTAATATATAATATATCAAAAGAGAAAGAGAGAAAGAGAAGGAACGAGGAAAGAGAATTAGTTGTATATTCTGCCCGGCTGAAAATTCGTGTGAGCAAAAGCTTAATTGACGTGCTTTACGAAAACATATCCGTGTAGAAATTTATTTAAAATAAATCACATACGAGTAAACGAGTAATTAAACAGTAATTTTGCCTCGTTAAACATCTGATGTACAATGCTTTCTGAGAAGTGTTCAACAATCTAACGGATATTTACAAATAAAATAAAAACAAACTCAAGTATTAGTATGTTAAAGCGTAGATATATTTGTCTCATTTTATCGCGAAAAGTGCAACTCCAGAAGGACAAGTCTTGTAGTGCGATGATAAGAAGTTGCGATATTATAATGTTTAGGTACAATAATGAGGTCGAAAAAGTAGAAAAGACCGGAATACATTCTAATCAGATTAAAGTGCATTAGACAACGTTATTTACATGAAAACGTTAGTTATATATATATATAATTAGCGTTTGCCATATAACAGATTTATCCTTTATGTAGCAGATTTCCTCAAAGCAATAATCTTAATGAATTACTTCGTGGCTAAAACCATTGATTCCGGTATCTATTTCAGCTATTCACCCGCATCGTATATTTTGCAAATACATCTTTAAATTATTTCTTATAACTAAGATAAACAAGAGCGAAATGTAACAAGTGAATGTCATAATTATGTATTATTATCATGTTTTGCCGCAATAAACATATATCAATGCGATTGCGCCTGCATTTTTTTCTGACTGAAAATAATGGTTATTTTCTAGGAGATATTAAAAGAGACAAAGAATATGGAGAGAGTACGGATTGTATTTTAATTATACAATTCTCGTGAAATACGTGTATATGTATATGTATACCGCATCACCACAAAATCTTTCAATCAAACTGATTCATCGGCGGTTTTCCTTAAACGCTTTTTAACATATCAATATATATTATGTACGACAAAGCAAAATTTACAAAAGAATATTATTATATTATAATATGTATATAATATTAATATTTTATTATAATTATTAATAATTATAATAAAATATTACATATTATGTCATATGATATATAATTATTATTTTAATTATATTACAATATTAAAGAAGATAAAGAAATTTACACCTACTAAATATATTTTATATCTAAATAATGCCTATTTATATCCAAATAATTGTACCATGTTGGCAAATTATTAGGATAAAACGCAAGTCAATAATTGCTTTCATTATAGTGCTACAGCGGAATTTTGATTGTGTTGTTTTTCTTTTGTCTGAAGCGGATGAAATAAAAAAGTCTATTTTTATAGCGCTCTGGTTCCATGTTACGTAACTACATCCGACTAATTCGGTGAAGACGTGAGACTTAGGTCCAAATTTAGAATGTGTTATTTTACTTGCTATACAATGACGGTCCGAAAATCAAACCGAATTAATTCCTCGACCAATTTAATTGTATGTTAAATAGACGAACACGAACTTTTTTAATTAAAACGAATTTTATAAGAATAGAAAAAATGCCAAGAATATTGCCAAGAATACTGCATAAAAAAATATCCGATATTATCGAGACACTCTGTATATTAAAATTACAGATTAATCTCTTGGGAAATAACGTACGTCTCTCCATGTTGGTTCGCGAGAGACGGCCTTTCCGTGCGAACGATGCCTGTAATGAGGTAACAAAAATAAAAATAATCGTAATGATCCCGCTGATGTAGCCGTGTATTTATCTTTATGAGTAACTTCACGATCGAAAATACGCGGCGGTGGCGGCGTCGCGTCACTCGATCGTAAATCGCGCGTATGCGTCAAACGTGAGAAAAAAAAGCTATCCGTAATGTATGCTAAAACGTTTCTGATCCGCTGTACGAACCGGTAATGAACTTAATGAGTTTTGGCATCGTAAGTGCGCTTTTTTCTTTCATGATTACCATTATCTCACAAGCGAATGTGGAGGATCGTCGAGCGGCGATTTAACAAGCGCGCCGTTCACGCGCTTTATGAATAATCATTGAAATCTGACGCGCAAGATAGAGGTCAAAATGTGTAATATAATCACGACAAGAAGGCCGTTTGTCTCACTCAACAGAGTCAACAGTTACGTTTTTTTTTTCATTCCGTCATCGAGGAAATCGATCTTTTAAAAAAATCAGATAACGGCATCTTTTTTTATTTGCAAGTTCTTACGTTAATTAAGCAGCGTTAATGACTACATGCGATACATTTTTTAAATTAATGTTCACGATTGCAAATGGAATTGCTTTCAATAACTCGATCTTTGTTGGAAGAACATGTTCCGCGAAGAAGTTAGACGGAGATAAAGTTAGACATTTCTATTATAATTAACAAAAAGAAAAAATTTTTTCTATTTGTAAAAACAAGTTTTTTGTTTAAAACAGTTTTGTTTAGTTTGTAAAAACAAATATTTTTTTTGCAGAATATTTAGGATAAGTCGATAAAATAACTGCAAACCAAGAGTGACGTAATAGCAAACGCAAATAAATTCTTCAATTCTATGCATAAGTGTATTCTACTTCCGCAGCGCTTGTGCAATTTAAAAGGGCATACAAATCGCTTGCTTATTTTTTCTCTCTCGTTCTCGTTCCGATGATTATATACAGTTATACATATGAATAATTAAGAATATTGTTCAAATTATCCGCAATAACAAAAAAGGTAACGTAAGCTTAACGTATAGTTACGATGTTTCCACAATCCGTAATTATCGTTTGTAAGATTTATCTATTTTTTTCGTTTTTCTTGCGTGCATAAACGTTTAAATTGATTTTCTTGCCGGAAATTGAGCTGGCTGAAAAGTATCTATTTCAGATCTTAAAAAATATGCGTTTCCACGGTTAAATGTCTGGGACATCAAAGATGATTAACGATCAATGCCCAATAGTTGTTGCACCGATATCAACAAAGACAATCGTTCGATGTGAGAAATTCAATATTAATTATCTATGATCTTGGCGATGTACAGGAATGATTATTTCAGAAAAAAGATTTATATTCAGCATCACTTTTAATATTTTAATATTTAATAATATTATTTTAATATTTAATGGATAACTTGCATTGTATTTTATTATTATTTTATTGATATATTGTTTTGTTTTGCGTAATTATGTTTTATTGATCCTTCAGTTTTTTTTTTATTCTATTCGTACTTTATAAAGTTACTTAAATGTTTGTCTAAAAATATACTTAAAAAACTTTATTTATGTTCAAGATCTATGGTTAAACATATTTATTTTTTTATTTCGTAAACATTTAATTGTAGATTTTTATCGTTTTCATTAGTTTAAGCAAAAATTTGGTATATATTTAAATTTGAAAAACAAAACTAAAATCACTTTATACTTGCAAATATACACATTGAACAAACATAATTCTAACACTGCTTTATTAATATCTGTAGGTAAATATTCGTTAAAATATAAATTAATCCTGTCATACAAGATTAGCAAAATACATGATCTCACAGTCCATTAATTGCTAATCATTATATTATTGACCTATCTCGCGAATTTAATTGTGTAATCACAATAATGTAATCAATCATACTGTACATTAAATTATACGTAGCACAAATAAAATTCCTTGAACATTTATCATATATATACATATATATCCGATACAACGATACACAGGATTAAAAAATTAAGTTTTAAGATAATTATTCATTTGTCTAATTTGATCTTCGACTTGAAAAAAAAACAACATATGGTGACTTATAAATTTATAAATCTTCGTAGTTCCTTTTCTTTAAATGTGAGGTTTCTGTTAACTATATATAATTTTTGCATAAGAAAAATAATTGTCAAAGCTATTATTTTTTCATTCAGACAGCAAGATGAAGGATTTATGACACTTTAAAAACATTTTACGCAGAAGGAACTGTTTAACACAATTTTTTCATTAATAACATATTATATGGAAATTGAAATTGCGTCAAGCATACACATAGTAATCGAGTCAATATTTAAACGTTAAGTGGAAGTTATCGTAGATTCTTTTGATATAAGCGCATGACGATTTTTGCAGTCAGACGAGCGCTCGTGAGATAAGTTTATTAAATAATTATCTGTTTTTGCATGTCGTTCACTTTGCGCTAAGTACGCAAGACATAAATCAGTCCGTCGAGAAAATATCAAAAAGTCACCCCGATGACGGCAGCCACGAACTATCTCGCTTGACTATTTTGATTATACGCGTCACTTTAATCTTTTAAGCCGTGATTCCCCTTTTTTTTTTTTAATTGTGATAATGTGAAAATGTAAAAATATAACGCGCGCGAAATTCTCAGAAAATAATAATTTGAAAAACAAAAGACTATTCTGGCAAAATATCATATTTTATTAATTTAAAATTATTTCATAATTATTTTACGCACAAATCAAATGATTACTGATAAGTGTTTCATAATAATGCAGATAAAAAAACAAATTAGTCCCGAGAAATTTGCGGTTCTAATAGAACACGCGACAAACGCTTTTAGTATAAATAGAAAAAGTCGAGAAGTTTTATCTGGCATTGCGGTAGAAAAAGAATGCGCTTTATATTTAATATTTTTCCTACAATTTATTTTACATAGCGGATTTGATCGATGTACTCTTCGTAGAATATGTATTTCGTAGAACCACATATGTACACGTATCACTCGTATGATCATTTGAAATCTAAGTAAATAAAATGCAACCTGTCTTATCATTAATGACACGCATTGATTTGCAACTAAGGATACGTTAAGAATGCATATTAATTTTTAAGTAATCACGTTTTATTCTTACCTTGCAACTTACAGAAAAATAGAAACTATAATTTTTACGAAATATTGACTTATAGGTATTTTATGCCAGAACTGGTAACAAGACTATTTTACATATATACATTTTACATCTACTTTACTCTAGAACTACATAATATGCGATAAATATTAGGTGCAATCATTATCTCTATGCATTTGCAAGATTTATTACAATGATCTATAAGATTAGCTATTTTTTATGCTTATAAATTTATCAAGGATTCGATTTTAATATTTATTGTGCTGCAATGTGAATTCCATATAGTTATATTACTTTTTGTTAGATTATGTATTTATTACTTTAATGAATTTTTTTACTGTATCAGTAACATTATTATGTTAATAAAAAATAATGTTAAATAATGTTAAAATGTTGTCTATTTATGACACATAATATTTAAAAATAATGAAATGCTTTTAATTTTCTTTTTAATTTTACCTTTAAAATTATTTTTCTTTACAACTTAATAATGAATTAAATAGTTAAGTTTTTATAAACAATAAGACACATAAGTCTTACAAAATAGAAAATAAATCTATAATTAATAATATTTTAAACAGAAGTAAAGATTTTTTACATAGATTCTTATAAAAAGATATTTTTTATATTTTCTAATAATCATATTTTTGCATTAGCACGTTTAAAATACATAATTATTTGTTTAACATTTGTCAAATATTGGGAAACCTTAAAATATTGAAAGCAATACTGATTGTGAGTTCTACGTTAATGTTTTTATATTTTCTTTTGAAAGATTACATACGTTTGTTTCCTTATACAGTAATTGTTGTGAAAATTGAAAAATTACAATTATTATTGACAAAATGAATATACCTCTTTATTACGACGTATTAACGATTGGCATAAATGATAAATCCATAAAACGACATTGAGATTCATCGAGATAAATCCCCGCTGGAGGCTGCAAATGACCTTCGTAAATATTTTACATTATCGGCTTAGATGTGTCATGTCCCATGTCATGGCTATTTGAAGCAGTAATCATTAAATCATTGACAATGTCAATGACCAAACATATATTTAATGCATATTTAGCACATGCTCACAGCACTAGTAAATATGTGATAAATTTGCTAGCAAATTAGCAATTTGTATTAGACACGAGAAAGTGTCTTTGTCATATCTGTTGATATCGTGATATTAAATCTTTTATTTTCAGATATTGCTTTGCCTTCTAGGGGCTTCTTTATTTAAATTGTGTAATAAATATACATTTTTTGTATATGTAATCAAGCGAAATTTCCTCTATTTTTTATATTTCTCTGAAAAGGTAGACGTAATCTATCTGCGGTACAAATTATTGTTTCAGCATAAATTATTCTTACAAGAAATTTTCTTTGCTTACATTTGGATTCTTCTTTTTTACAAGGATTGATTCATTAGATTTGCTTATTTTTAGAATTGCAATCCATTGTATTTATCTTACAATACTTTCTGAAGACGAATTTCGTTTACATTATATTGTGTTTTGCAACAGAGTGCTAGTTCACCGATAGATAAATTAGAGTACTATTTAGAAAATGTCTTAGAATACTTTCTGAAGACGAATTTCGTTTACATTGTGTTTTGTAACAAAGTACCAATTCACCGTCAGATAAAATAGAATATTATAGTTATAGAAGATACGATGACAGGTCCACGTGGCTTCTCGACCAGGATAATACGTGCTTATCGTCGACTATCTTAGCCTTGGCCACGTATCCGACGCATTTTTTTGCTCCCATTGCTCTTCAATCCGATCTGTCCGACGAAGCAACCAGTGTTTTAGGAAGGAATGAGTGGTCGGAGTGGGAGGTAAGATATAAAACCTTGACGGCCGATCGGGACAGAAACCAGAAAGATATCGTCATGTGGCAGTATCGGGCGATCGGCCTTTTGGCCTTGCTACTTGCAGCATGTGTCCAAGCACGAGGTAAATTATTTTTTTTTTCTGTCAACTTGTCATCATCATTTTAAATGTCTCTTGCCTTATACTAATTATAATATATATATGTTGTGTATGGTTTTATTATCATTTTTATTCTTTAAATAAGAAGAGCGTGTATTTGCTACAAAAAGAGAAATTCACCTCTCTGATCTTTAGAATATGTATATAAAAGAAAAATGTTTGGGTATATGTATTATTATTAAAAAAAATATTTTCTTATCCTAATATATATGTTTATATATATGCGTAAAACAGAATATATATTTTACATAACAAGCAACAAAAACGTGTTAAACAGTAAAATAATAAAATTATATGACATATACATTGTTTTTATTAAAAATTACAATCAATCAAAATTACAATCAACGATATTTACAAGATATAATGTATTGCGCAAAATGTCAGTTTATGTTTCCAAGATTTTGCTATTAGTGAGATGGTGATAATCTTTTCTCGTGACGTAACATTCATAAATATATATGTGTAATGCGCGCCTTCTTTTTCACAACAGCTTTGCGATTATTTTTCATAGAAAGAGCATATAAAAATACGAAGTGGTCGCAAGTTTTAGATTTTTTTCTGAAAAATCGATAACAAATCTATGCTATAAAAATTTGTTGCAATCGTATATATACATAGATAATTGTTGTTTGTAAATACTTGAACTCTGATCCAAGATAATCGAACATTTCGCTTAAATACACTTTAATTTCCGATTAATATTAAAATAGTTATACATTGTTGCTGCATGAAGAAAAAATATATATAAAAAAGTATGAAATATTTTATATATATATATATATATATATATATATATATATTTCTGTAAACGAATTTGTCATTTATTTAAAGTTACTTTTTTAGTGATTTTGCTTTAAGTTTAGTTTAATTTATATTAGTAATGTAAAAATAATCTTCTCAATTTGTTGCAGAAGTTGAATTACTGCGTTTGAAGCGTTACAGCGGAGGCTTCGCTTCCAGCAGTGCTAGCAGTTCGGCCAGCGCAAGCTCGTACGGTGGTGGTGGTAGCAGTTACTCCAAAACCAATTCTCAAGCTGTCGGTAGTGCTTCGGCAGGTGGACAATCCTCGGCTCTGACAGATGGTGGATATGGAGGCGGTGGTCATGGTGGTTACGGAGGCGGTGGCGGTGGCCACGGCGGACTCGGAGGTGGCGGTGGACACGGAGGACTTGAAAGTGGCGGTGGTCACGGCGGACTCGGAGGTGGTAGTGGACACGGCGGACTCGGGGGAGGCGGTGGACACGGGGGTGGCATTGGACACGGTGGTGGCGGCGGTCTAGGAGGTGGCCCTGGCGGTTATGGAGGTGGTGGCCACGGCGGACTTGGCGGTGGAAGTGGACACGGTGGATACGGAGGTGGCGGTGGTAGTCATGGTGGATATGGCGGTGGACACAACGGCGGTGGATACGGAGGTGGCGGTGGTAGTCATGGTGGATATGGCGGTGGACACAGCGGCGGTGGATATGGAGGTGGTGGTGAACACGGTGGATACGGAGGTGGCGGTGGATACGGAGGAGGCGGGCACGGAGGTGGCCATAGGGGCGGTGGATATGGTAATTAACTCTTTATTTGCATTAATTTTAAACAATTTCATCAATAATTAATTTCTTTTCTTATTACGACTCCTCGACATATTTAATTCATAAAAAGCATATATCGCCAACACATTATCTAGATTATTTCATAATTTTTTTCAGTACTTGGAGGATATGGTGGTGGTAAGTTCAAAATAAAAAATTAACATTGTTCATATAATAATTTTATGTGTATAGAACGTAGATATATATATATATATAGATATGTACCTATGTGTGATAATTAGAATTTAATACTTAGTAATAATTTAAATTTATATTCAATTTGCTTTTTCTTATTCTAATAAAATTAATTAGTACAGTATTAAATTGACAGAAATATTATCTACACTGAAAAATTTACGCACCCTAGAAATAACATAGAATTAATGAATATAATCGAATAGACAATCACGCTTAATTAATTATAGTTACTAATCTGTCTTATATAGAATATAAATATGTAAATGCTAAATAAATAGATAATTGAGAGATATACAATAATATAATAAAGATAATTTTGAAAAACTGTGTAGTTAGTTTAAAACAAAGGCTTTTGTTCTAGTTTTTGTTGTAAAAACTGTAGTAATAATTTCTCATGTTTCTAATAAAAACATTTTAGAGCTTTTATACACATATAGAGCTTTTTATACATTATATGCATTTTAGATGGTCATGGTGGAGGCGGAGTCAGTAAAACTAGTGGAAGTTTAGGAGGTGGTTATGGTGGAGGTGGGTCTGGTGCCGGTGGCTACGGTGGAAGTAGCGCTGGTGCTGGCAGTTATGGAGGAAGTGGAAGTCCCGGAGGACACGGTAGTGGTGGTGTCCTCGGAGGATATGGTGGTGGTGTTGGTGGTGTTGGTGGTGGGGGTGGTTATGGCGGGGCTGGTTCTAGTGCAGGTGGTTACGGTGGAGGTGGCCATGGCACCGGTAGTCACGGTGGAGATGGCCATGGTGCTGGTGGTGGTTACGGTGGTGCCGGCAGTTCAGGCGGCGGTTATGGAGGTGAACGTTAGGAAAAATATATACATATTATAACTTATTATATATATAACTTATTTATACCATTAGAATGTATATATTTAATTGAAATATAAAAGACCTTTCTTTCTTAATTTTTATATTTTTTATTTCTCCGACATACTTTTATTACTTTAATGGCGTCTTTAATAATTCCAAAAACTTATGTACATATTCTATTTTTTATATTTGTTTCAAGTTTTGAAATATTCCATATAAATTTTGATAACATGCATAATGATAATATTTTTAAAAAGATACATCAAAAGGTTGAATTAATACTGATATCCCGCGATGAATTAGGTGGTGGAGGATATGGCGGAGGACATGGTCCTGGTGGACTTGGCGGTGGACATGGAGGAACTTTAGGTGGCCACGGAGGAGGTTTAAGTGGTGGATACGGTGGAGCAGGAGGATTAGGCGGTGGACACGGAGGTCTAGGAGGTGATTTGAGTAAAAATTGAATGACAATTTAGATGTTACCTGATACAGATGGATGTGATTATTTTTTATATTTTAGGATGTACTGGTGGAGCATGCGGTGGTGGTGGCGGCGGACATGGTAGTGCTAATGCCCACGCTAGTGCAAGCGCAAATGCCGGTGCCGGAAGTGGAGGCCACGGCGGTCACAGTGGACCGGGAGTAGAGTATGTATTATCAAAAATATATATACAAGTGTATGTATTACAAAACTTGAAAGAATATTTCAATAATTTCCAATCTCGATTGCCCATAACTTGAAAACAATTTATTATATATTGAGGCTTCAATTTTTTTTTATTTAAAAAAATCGTAAGAGAAGATTGAAGAAAATATCGAAATTTCCAATTTGACTGAGCATTGAAATTAATATCTCGAAGTTGAAATAGTTTTAAATATTGCAAGAAAAATAATTATGATTCAGCAATTGTAATGACATCAGAATTTTGTGTGAATCAATCCACACAGAGTAGAGTTTTCTCAACAGAAATTTCAAGGTAAACAAGTTTCTTATTTGTAAGACTGAATGTTTCCGTAACTCCTCCTCCCTCCCTCCCGTTCATCATATAATCGATAATATGTAAATGCGGCTGGTTATGGAAATGGCAAAACATGATAATTTATTGAACAAATATGCCTTGATGAGACATAAGTCGACAAAAACGAGCCGAAACAGCTAATGCTATAAATCGGTGTATTTTTAACTTTATATGTTTCGCACGAAATGTCAAATATTAAACAGTTTTTCATCTTCAATAATTTAAAAAAATGTGTTACTGTTTTATTTTTATAAAACTCTAATGTTATTTCAATAAGAAAATATGAAAAACAGTGTCAGAAAGAAGAGATCCATGCCTGGACTTGTCACATAAAAATTTAGAAGTACTCATTACATGGAATTTTCAAGTCAATATTGAGTTTGTCTTGATAACAGATATTAATTTTTTGATAATCATATGATTTTGTTTGCAGTCTATTCTCCCGTGGTAGTTTCGGCGAAACCGATGACGGTACAAGCCAGAGCGGTACTGTCGAGGGGGCCAAAGGAGTTTACAGCAGCAGCGCGGCGAACATAGACAGTACCGGTAAAGGTACTTACTCCGTTAAAGCCGGTAAAATCCCGGCGTAAATCCCGCATTTAATTTTCACCACTTTTCGGAAATTGGTTGCCGCTTTGCTAGAGATCTTCCCGACGACCGAAGATGCTGTAGCTGTGATTATACAAATACCTATTTTGACATAAACGTAGTACCTGTAATTTGAGGTCTACGGTTTATTTATTTCCTAATCGTCAAGCGTGATGTGACGCCTAAAATAAATCCATGAAATTATATAACATTCTCGTGTGAGTGCTTTATTGATGTTTTCCAGTCCCAATTAAAGGAAAAACATGAGAAACACTATTCTGTAATCAGTATTCAAATGGACATCGGAAATACTTCCGACCATTTATTCTCGTGTATTTCCAATTGACTTAGAAAATCTCTTGAAACGATTTATGTCAAATAAAATGATTATCCACTGTTTATCCACTTTCAGCAATGGAAAAATTTAATTTATTCGCTTCTCATTTATAGAATATCGACGATCTAAGAATGTATAGATCGAATATGCCATTATCTAGTTCAGAAATTAGTAACTACGATGTTAATCGTCGAAATTGCATTTTTATCGCGTTCTACTTCTATTTCTAACTATAGTTAAATAAAATCTTTATTGAATCTTAAATTATCTGATCATCTAGCACTTTAAAATCTCTTGATAAGAATATAAATATATACGGTTTCTTTCGAATCTCTTATCATATAGTACCGATCGTGTAAAATCATATAATGCCTGTTATGTTGCCTCGCTACTTAATAAAATTATTCGTTAGTTAATGCCGTTTTCGATTAATGCGTTAACCGGAAAAACCGGTTTCTTATCAGTTTTTCATCGCTAATGAATACTCATCAAATCTCAATGTAATTCGCTATTTTTGCTAATCACATTGCGTAACTCATCAGTGATTGTAATAGTCTGACGGTACATCAAGACCCGTTTTGCATTCGTCGAGACTGCAAATCCGGTTCCATGATGATCGTAAATCCTTTTGTTATTTCCTTGCTATTTCGCAGCGTAACTATTCGCCAGCGAGTGTGTTAACACAGTTAACGCATATATTTTCTGAACAGTAAAAGTTTTTGTACGTTGTGTTACGTCTTTGGATATATATGTATATATATATATATATATATATATATATATATATATGTATGTATAAATAAATATATATATATATATTTTGTACGCAAATAGACTTTTTTTATTATTATAATAACATAATGATAAAATATATATGGTGTAATACACGAAAAGAACAAAATTATTTTTAGATCTTTAACATTCAACAGAATTTGTGCCTATACTTTTTAACAAAATCCCTTCTTTCTGTTTTTATATAATTACATAAAATCATATCCTCATAGGTAATATCATATTATAAATATTGATATTTTCACCATGGGCAATTAATATATTGAACGCGCTTTTTACTTTATATATAAATTGTTATCTAGCTAGCTATTTAACATGATTAAAAAATTTATATTAGATTAGTAGATATTCATTTTTTTACAAATGTTTCAAAAAATTTTAATGGCACCGACCAACAATATGTTTTGTAAATTATAATTTATGATTTTAGAAGAAATGTATTACTCTTTCTATTTTTTATAATTTATATAATTACATCGGCAATTGATCAATCCAACTATATGAGTCACGATATATATACACGATACATATATTTAACTTACAATTCTCAGACTATTAGTATTTACAGTAATTCATGAATAATTCATAATAGCTTTTTATATACATATACACTTTTTATGTATATATATGATAATCTTACCTAATCGATGATATAAACGGTTTTTCCCAAGAAGGTACTGTATGAATATATACTTCTTTTGTACGCATATATATCGTTTCGACTCCACAATTTATCGCTTTTTTCCATCGTTCGTATGACACACACGCTATAATATATAATAATAAAATTCTGACCAAAATTTTTCTTTTGAACGGCGCAATTATGTTATAGTTACGGGCCACTAATTCTAACGTAGTCAATGCCATTCGTAGAACATTTCGATGTCAATCTCCAAATGTCTTGCCGCGCTCTTAGCAAGCAATTTAAAAACACGTATAAAATTGTCTCCGCGCAAACACATAATGTGCTTGTATTCGCAGCAGAGAGAAACCTGAGAAAGGACATGCTTTTTGCATTTTACCTCAAAATGCCCTCGCACTAACATCCCCTGAAGAAGTGGATGTAAACTATATAGCAACATTCACTTTTTGCATTGCGAATATACAATTTGTGGTGCGTGTCCATGCTACACCCACCTTTCGAGACTGCTGGGACTTTATTCTTGAAAAATTGCGCATTTGAAAATCATGTTCTCTCTCAGATTACGAATATTTCCGGCGAGTAACACAGTCTTCGACTTTGTTCCGGGTTATGTATATTGTTTGTATATTGTATATTCTATTCCATACTTATACGTGCACAAAATATAACTGTGTAACAATAAAGTTAACTTGGATATTTCTTGATGGAAAAAGTATAAATCTATTCAAATGCAATTTTATTATACTGGCACTTCTTTTTAATTTATCATATTATATTATATATTATGTTACTCAAACTTAGAATTTTAATTATTCTTATACAAA